AATGTTTTGGAAACACTAAACTCTCTTGTACTAAGGAAAAAAAAATACTATAGGGACATTATGAACTCCCCAGTCAGACTATACAATTAAAGGACACCTTGGGATATGGTTGGGCCACTTGAAATCCTTTTCTTTGCCTTACTATGAAATGTTCCTATGGAAAACATAAATAATTGAACATTACTTTAGATGACAGAAAAATAGTTTTGCAACAGGAGGAGAAAGACTGGAGAGATATTAAGTAGATTTCCACAGGTATATTTATACTAAAAATCTACTGTTTTGTTTCTAAAGAGCATCAAGATAACATTGTTAAGCATAGGCTGTGCCTGCAGCCACAGTAAATAGTTTTAGTTAGGAGGAACTCCAATACTTAGCCATTCAGAAAATTGTTTGGGTTTAGTTTTGCCTGCATCACTATTGTCCGTCTTGCTTCCATAAACAGCTCTGAAACCAGCTGATCCCCTGAATATTGATCTCAATGTCTTTGTTCTTGTTCAATGTCTGCTTCACAAGCTTTGCCTAATCCTCTACAGGAAAACGTCTTAGTGTTTTAATTACCTGATTGTGTATATGCAACTTTGAATATTTGCCCAAAGTTTGCCTAAAATTCAGGTTGCACAATAAGTCCAACAGTTTTCCCAAAATGCATTTCATTGGGATAAGAGTTCTTGGAAGAGAGGATGAAAGTAAAGAAGGAACATATCTAGAGACAGAAAAAAATACAGCCTCATCATATTGCAAATAAATTCTGCCTCGTGCCTGCAGAAAGATACTTTAATGGAAAATGGAGTACTGTATGTCAGCTTTTTTATGTATACCTGTCCTCCTTGGACAAAATGCACCTCTTCAGATTAGAACTGAAAAAGTTTTTTCAGTTTTGCAGAAAAAAACCCATCCATTTAAAATATTACATTTCATGCTGCACTGTTTGAAACTTAACTCCTTATTTTCTCCCCACTCAGGAAAATAATACATCTTGCTCTTATTAATTGAATAAATGTGCAGAATTAGGAAAAAAAAATCCAAAAACTTTTATTAGCTTATGGTTACAAAATTGCTATGCAATTTAATCCTTAATTGAAATATACAAATAGTATATTATGTTCAGTTGTTTGTCATTTTGGGACAAGTGATTGGGGATTTTGGTGTTAAACTTTTCTTCTTAACTATAGCTATTTGCCCTCATAACTTTATTATGGACACGAATATAGAATACTTCTATGCAATTATTTTTCCTCTTCCAGCCCACTCTTTTTTCCTGCAAACATCTAATATACTAGTTTAAAGAATCACTGAAATAATTTGTCTTTTGACAGTAAGTCTGTCAGCAAAAAAGCACGCTCTGGACTATGTTATTTCTCTGCAGAACATACAGCCTGAACTGCAAAAGAGCAGTGTCCCTCCATTTTCTATCAGCATTTTCATCCTTACCTAAAATTGAATTTTCTTTAAAGTAAAGGTGGGATTCAGCCCACCAATTCGATTCATGTCTGAGAGTGTAGGTAACCGTCCATTAAAAAGTGGCCTGAAATCTTCAGCATTTTTTTCAACAGCTTATGGAAGTAGCTTCCATCTGATTGATTTTCTAATGGGGAAAGTTTCCATCTCTCAATGCTTCTTCTCTAAATCCTCGAGCTACCCTCATCTACATCCTTTTTAACATCATATCAGTTTAAACTGATTCTCTTTTGCTCTCAGCAAGAACAATTTCTAACACTCTTTTCCAATGACATGAGAAATGATTTCACAAAAATGACTGGAATACTAGTTTCAAATATTAGGTTGAGATGTTCTTCCCAAAAAGAGTTTGATTGAACAAATATTGCTTTTATATTTAATACTTTTATTCAGGCCTCACAACAGAGAATAAACTGAAAGTATAAATGGCAATAGCACTGTCAATTAAATTAAGATACATTATGCCTTGTTTGTCAAAATTTATGATTTAAATCTCTTTGTACCTGTGGAAAGAAAAAACAATAATAGCTAAGGCTGATTTAAATGGAAGACAAAAGTCTTGTTGACAGGAAAATAACAAAAGGTATTTCTGCTCTGCTCTGAATTAATTCTCCTAAAGAAAAACCCCACAGAAGTCATATATATATGCTATACCACTGATGTTTGGAGCCAGTTAAAACAGGATGTCATCAATAGTCTATAAACATCTTTTGAGGGCATAGCATAGAGAATGGAAAAAAGATTGTGCTTTTGTAGTAATATGATTTCGACACCAGGTATATAAAGACATAATAGCATCCATACATTTATTTCAAAGGTGCAGAAGGATAACTGCATTTGCCCACTTTGCACACGTGCAACTGGTGACACATGCAGGAACTTTGAATACGTACAGCATCATAGCTCTGAAAATATGGTCTGGGGGAAACATTTGGTTTTCAGGCATACAGAGTTTTAAGGATACACTTAGTGCTTAGTGAAACCACAAGGGACAGCTTGTACAAGATTGTCTCGGTGATACTAAGTTAGGAAAAGGAACCATGACTTTTGCTTAGTAGAAGTACGTTTTATTGATCAGGTTTTTTTGCCTCATTGTGAGACACATGTAAAGTAGTGTCTTTTACTGTCTACACCATTAATATCAGCATCATGCAGGCAGTTTTATTGTTAATATTGTTGAGAAGGCACATGTTTGTGGGTAAGTAATCTGCTTGTTTACAGTGCCATTAGGGAACTGCTGACTCCACCAGTTCACAGGCTTGTTTAAACCTTTCTCTGCTTCTGACCTGCTGAGTATTTGCTATTCAACACTGTATGAGTGATTACCTGGGGCCTCCATTACACAGGCTGTTGGGTTGCTAAGGAATAACTCTCAAGAGGTTAAGAGCCTTGTAGTCACCTTGATCTCAGTGCCAGTGATTATCAGTGCTAATTTTCTACTTGGTGTTATACTGCAGCACTCACCAAGTCTTATGTCTGTCCCTTGACATGCAGAAATAGGAACAATTATGGCTGCAGATGGAGAGATGTACTGGTTACTTTCACACTATAATCTCTTCAACATGTTATTATAGATGAAACATCATCATTCAACATAAAATTTTCATACCCAGTGAGGGGCCAGCAGTCCTTTTTCTGTTCTCTAAGCCAGAGCTGACTTACTACAGAAAAATATAGTTGTCCTTCAGCCTTACTCTAACTGGTGCCAGTGAATTATTCTTCACCAGCTTAATGGTCTTCAACCTTGAAAAAGTGAATTTGTCCGGTCTTTATGCAAATCAAATAAATGTCAACTCCAGGCAAAAGGTTTCATGTGACAGGGCTTTTAAATTTAATAATTTTTCTCCAAATTGTCTGTTATCTTTTACTTGGAAACACACATTGAATATTAAGTATGGGCTTACTGAAGGCATTAATAATTCAGCTAAATAAAACCACTCGGAAGCTGTGAAGAACTGTAAATAAAATAATAGCTTTGATACCTGCTACTTCTTAGTTCCATGCAGACTGAAGTGAAAGACAAAATAGCAGCTGTCATATAGTTTAGGAAAAAAATTGCTAGTTTTACATTAAGATACTGACACATGACACTATACACAGCCTACTATTATTTAAAGGTATTTTGCATCCTCTGCCACACAGGCTTACCTGCTACTGGGTTCTAGTCTCTCAGGGTTGTTCAGTTCAGTGTTTCACATGAAATGCATCTTCAGATTTCTTTTCTCAAATAAATTACAAAAAGGGCCACAGTCATCTGAAGCTCTCATGATCTTCTACTGCAATATTGTGCAGGCAGACAGTACAACTTAGAATTCTATTATTTGCAATTGGGCACTTGCATGTGAAAGAAGTGTGGTAGAGATAGAAAATGTGCCTCGACCTGCTTTGGTAGAATTCTTGACACATTTTTAAGAGTATGCACTAAAAACCCCACTTTGCTCAATGTTCAAAAGCCATTATTCACACTATTAAATCACACTAGCATTCTATAGTGTCCCTTTATTTTCAGGGAAAGTTTTCTTCTATGCTTTGTCCTTTCTACCTCTGCCTTTTCTACCTTTCTCACTTAAAGCTTCTCCTTTTGTGATACTTTCTTGATGTTTCTTACTTTTACTATTCATTACAGTACTTCTCAAAACAGTAAAAGAGTGTGTTACTAGGCAGAGTAGAAATAAACCCTTGTGACTTTTCCATGCAGAGCCTTTATTGGCTCATTGGTTTGTTGGTTTGGGGGGGGATGATGTTTGGGGTATGAGCTAGATAAGACTTCTTTGTTATTTCTTCACCACAAAAGTAGAAAGTTGCTAATGGAATGCAAAACCAGGAATCTGGGATTGGCTTTGCTATTGACAGCTCAAAAGTAGTTTTCTCATGGACCTGTATAACTTCACATTTGTTTGTTTCCCTTGATGGTGCCTGTCTTTTCTTAGATTGGTATGTATAGTCCTTCCTGAATCTGAGAGGAAATGCTTCCCTTTAACACTTACTTAGCATTTATTTTTTAATATTTTTACTTTTTCTCTCTTTGATGAAAATAATTTGGTGGACTGAAGGACCAGCAAGAAGTCCAATCATTTCATGTTTCTCTAGATCAAAGTAACAGTCTTAGCTCACCTTCTCACTCATTTCCCACTCTTTCATGTATTTAACTGTCTTCCTACACCACTGATGATGCTATATTAGACCAGAAAAGAAGAGGGTATCAGTTTTGAATGCTAACTTCATTTGATCACTCAGAGAATTACAGTATAATGATCCTCTAATTACAGAGCTGTCTCACTGTGTTAAATCCTATCTGTGTGTGCTGTCAACTGTTTACAGTTCTGCATGCCCCAGACTTCACATTTCTGAATATACAATGATAGCTGACAACAGCATTGACAAATATAACGTACATTGTACACAGTACAAAGAAGTGGAAGAACTTTGAAGAAGGGATAGAAATTTGAGAGTAAGCCCATCTTACCACGGAAGTTTAATCAGTATGTATTTTCCTATAAATCAGTTCATTCTTCTTGTTCTTCTCTGTTTTTCCACAGTGGTTATGTCTTTGATTATGATTACTACAGAGATGATTTCTACAATCGGTATGTGTGCCTGTATTTTTGTACATCCTACATAATTTCTCATGTTTGTTGATATATAATCCCATTGTTTGGCTAAACAGGCTAATTCTGGTTTTATCAATTATTCATTGCTTTATTTCTATTGTGTATCAGACTATTTTTAATATCTCGCAGAGAAATCACCACCACCAAATGCATGCTTACTAAACAGAGCTTTATATTTTATCCTTCTCTAAGAGCTTTTGGGGTATTTACTGTGCTGAATAGTTTAATGGTAGTTTAATAGAGTTATTCCAGGCTTACTTTCACTGGGATGTATAGTGCTTGCAAAATTCTTCAGTATGATGTTCCTGGCTTTGTATTTCATCCATGTGTACGAAAAGACACAATGTCTCCTCGAGAATGTTCCAAGAATGTATAGAAGTCCAGAACAACTTTGAAAGAAACAAAAGCACAAGCTGAACAGTGTGTTCCTGTAGGACAAAAATAATTTGGATGCATGAGCAATTGGAGAGTCTGTTTTGAGTAGTTACACACAGCCAAGCTCAGCACTGTGAAAATGTATTTATTCAGATGTAGCAGAATCCCCACAACACAAGGGTAGTAAGAATGATCACAGATAACAGTGTTGTGATAGCAGTGTTGTGTCTTTGCATTAGAGCAGCTTGGTTTGGCACAGGACAAGTGAGCCAGAGAGGAACAAAGCATTGCTCCACCAACCTGTTCCAATTTGATAATTCTTCTATGTAAAGCAATGGACAGTAGCAAGGGAACAGTTTACACCCAGAAGTTATGTTAGCATGTGCTATATACCTTTCTGCTTAGGAACACAGTAGGAAAAATGTAGAAACAATATTTTCATATTTGTTTTCTCCTGATGCGTGTTCAGTTTGAGACACCAGTTTTAGCTTTGCATATAAACCACCCTGCCCCCTTTGGACAAAGCTAGAAATAGTGAGATATAACATAGATTATGAACATATGAAGTAAAAGCTATCAAAGCAGTTTAATCCTGCTCAGCCCAGCCTTTGCAGTAGGAGTAGCACATGTCCTGTAAAAGTTGATTTCTATAGGCTTTTATTTATTTTTTCCAAGGTTACAGCTCTGAATTTCATCTGTGGAATTGTATGTTTTTAAAGAAAATAGTGTTTCTCATCTATGCCACATGAATATTAAAGGTATATGTCTAGCTTTTTCCTCAATTCTGTATTTTATGGGTAGCAGAAATGATAAACTGTAATGGTTAATTTTCACCAAAAAACAAACAAACAAAAAAAATTTTTAAAACACCCTATTGGACGTTAAGGGTTGCTTCTTGGTGTCTCTCTTGATAACAGTGTTGTTATGGAAAACCACTGACGGTGAAATATATCCATAGATCTATTCAATAGTATAATTTTTTAAATTTAGAAGTCTTTCAGAATTAAGACAGCAGAACTTCTATAGTAGAAAACCTGCATGTGAGGTTGGCCTCATAAGGCTGGACATGGATCTTCTGAAAATAAAAACTGTACAAGGCAAACAGTCTTTAGATACAAGTTGATGGAAGGGAAGGATTAAAATCTCAAGAAAGTAGTCATGGAAAAGAAAATCCCATGGAGAATTCGGTGTACAAACTACTTATAGGAAATATAAATTAAGAAATATAGTCAGGATTCTTTGCATTTTTGAACTTCTGAACTTTCTGAATTTCTATGTTTTATCCCAAATCATAGATCTTCTTTTCTAATATTTCAACCAATTAATGTTATTGACTTTCCAGGCTCCCTGAAGGGAGAATATGTCTTTCTTACCTTGAGTAAAGCAGTGATGGGGTCAAAAAAGGGTGTCAGGAATGGATAGTTCTTTAAAGTAAAATCTATATGAAGACATATTGGCAAGATCCGAACTGTAAGTTTAGAAGTGTGACTGAAAGAAAAGGCATAGCTGTATGCACACTAGTGATTACTGGGGCAAAGAATTGCTTTGAAACAGTATTTCTCTTTATACTTTCTCATATTACAAGCACAAGAAAAATAGGCATGGTGCTTCAAAACTATAAATGGAAGCATTGTTTTTTAAAAGAAAGCATATTATTGGAATATACAGAACAGGACAAAATGGAATACCAAGCCCAAAACCTTTGTATAATTTCACAAATAAAGTAGGAATAGATTGATAACAGTCATTTAGATAAACATTCTTTTATATATTTTGAGAAAAGGAAGCACAGTTTCACATTTCACTATGTTATCTAAGCACAAACTATTGGAAGATTAAAAAATATTACCTTCAGACTCAAAATCATATTATGAACTTTTGCATGAGAGTTTATAGTACTTCAGAAACATATTTTCCAGTAATATCATAAAGGAGTTTATGACCAACCTGCAGATCATTTAATGTGATAAATGTTGAGTGACAATAAACACTAATATTTGTGTTAAAAGTAAAAAAAATGGTTTAGTGTCCATCTTCACACACAATTCTTTAGTTAGGCTAACAATGGCTAGAAGCTGCTAATTTGTGGGAATATTTGAGGCCATGGATTTCAGTCATTGAGTGTGACAGGACCTCTGTGTCACATTTTGTAGGCAGCTATGGAAAAGGAGGGAGACGATTACACTGTCTGTATGATTACAGTACAGACAGAAGTGTGGTTTGATTTAAGTACTAGGTATGTACTTACCAGAAAATAGGTTAGAAGATTTAAATTTGACTACGCATTCTGTTCATCATACTGTTAGATGCTGTGGTGAGTGAATTACTGCTTCTTGTGTGTCTGTTTTCAAATGTGTATCTATCTGCCCAGCTGGGTGACAGTATTCACAACTGTGAAAATTAAAATGTGGTTATAAATTTCCATAATTACTAGTTGCAAGTAAATTTGAGAATATTTTATGTGGATGGTGCTTATCCCTCTGCTTCAGACTCTGAACTGGAAATCTTTATTTTCTGAACTTTCTTCTCCTGACCAATCATATCCAGAACCCATATATTTTATGTTCTAAATATATCTGTAGCTTTGATTATCTTTTTACTACCTTTATTTCCCTCTACACAGGTTAGTTACCTCCTATTGATAACTGTATCTTTAGGATTAGGCTATTCTGTTTGGGAACAAAAGTTAATTTTTATCATAGAGTATCTTTTATTGACTGTAGTGGTAAAAGTCTGAATATCTGCCTGCTACAGTGGTTTTGGTTTGAACAATTTTTTTTTTTTTTTAATTAAGCATGCTTGGTTATTTTAGTATTTCTACACCAATTAATTCTGCAATAAAGAAACTATATGCAAAAACTCTTGTTATTTCAGAAACTGCAGAATATTTCTTCATGGTGATGGTTCTCTTCAAGAAAGTTCTCTTTTCTACATTACTTTTACAACTTTAAGAATAGCAGATAGAAAGATAGAATTTAAGCCATGCATGTAATAAAGGAGCTGAAATGTCACAACAAAATGTACTGCTTTTGGCTGTGAGCAGTGAAATGATGTGGACCTGTGGAAAGCAAGTTATGGATTTTCCATATGGCAAATAGCAGAGTCCCATAATACATCCTTCATTTAAATGACACACAAAAAATCTGAGCTGGTCTATGCACCAATGTGTGACTGAAATCTGAATAAGGCACTTAATGTGCATAGGTCCTTGAAATCTAATTTGACTTGATATAAAGTGATTACAGTTTCAAAGGGTAATTTTCTCAGATAACATGCAAATTTAGTTGACAGAGCTCCCATGACATGAAATCACGGAGGGTTTTATGGAGTCCAGCTGACTTAATCTTTTCTAGGTTGTTTGATTACCATGGCCGTGTCCCCCCACCGCCCCGTGCAGTGATTCCACTCAAACGTCCTCGTGTGGCTGTGACAACAACTCGTAGAGGCAAAGGGGTTTTCTCCATGAAGGGAGCATCACGGTCCACTTCAAGTGGGGCTTCTTCCTCAGGATCCAAATGTGAGTTGCTCGTATCAGTTGAATATTATTGAAACAATGATCCTAGCAATTTCTGCAAACAGCTTCCACTACATAGATAGCCCTATTGCAGTCATTTCCTAGCCTAAATCTCTAGCTTGAAAAACTGGTTTGATTACCAAAGCTTCCAGGCCTCTCCTGCAAGTCAAGGAGCACATTGATGACACTTTTGAAGGAAATTCTTTCAACATTTGACCTGCTCCCTTGGCCTCAGAAAAAGGCTTTTTAAAATCTCCTGTCAACCTCACTGCTCATACACAATGAGATCTTGTGAACTGCTAGTAATAATAAAAAAAAGATAATAATCTTGTTCTAGACAGACAGAGGTACCTTGATTTCTGTGGAGACCTCAGGGTTGTATGTAAGCCGGTAGGGGTGGACTGGGTAGTGGGGGGAGGGGAGGTTGGGTTATGTGTCCTCTTTTTTACCGGATTCCTTTGAGTGTAGAAAGAGGCAAAATGTCTTTGTTTTAAAGAAAGTTCAAATTGGATTGGCAATTTGGGCTTATTTAATCCTTCTTTAGTGAATAAGAAGTGTTAACAGAAGAGCTAGATGAACAATAGGCATTCCCTCCTCCAAGCTCACCAAGCTCCCCACTCCCTAGTATGTCCTGGGAACTTCATCTTCCTCTTCGTGCATCTTTCAGCACCCACCCGTCTTCCCCTGCCCCTTATGTGGAGTGATACTGTCCTTGGAAGCGTCACTGGAAGAGGAAGAGAAAGATCAGGTAGGGATCAGACATTAGAAAGAATGAAGGAACTTAAATAAGCCTTTTGCAGTACTAGAGCGGCAGCAAAACATTATGCTGTCTTACCATGAAATAGGTGAATCCATCAACAGTACATCTCACTGCCAGAGGAGTTAATTATGGCATCAACAGGACCCAGTCATACACTCTGTTTGAATAACATATTCAAATCTTACATGCTAGTATCAAACAAAGAAGATGGATCTCGTGAGCCCATCAGGATCCATTCTTGATCCTATTGTATGGCCAGATTATATCAGAGACCTTGAAGGAAAATGTAATAAACGTGTAAATGCATGTGACTGAAAAATTGGACATGTAGTAAACTCATCTAAAGATAAGGTGCACTCAGGAGCAAGGATCTCAAGACATTCCTGGGAAAGGATGATGTTCTGACAGACAGGCTCTGTTGTATGTATAGTTAAATCACTTCCAAGTCTCCAGGGAATGAATGGGCTGGATGTCCACTAACAAGAGCTCTGATGCCTAACACACAGGAAGGCATCTAAATTTAGGTGTCATATTATGAAGCTTACTCAGAGCCTAAGAGGATGTCTCGGAGTAGCAATATATCCTTTGTTCTCTGGAGGATGAACATGAGCCTAGACATTTTCATACTCACCTTGAAGCAACCCTTTCCTCAATATTTTAAGAAATATTAAGATCTAATTTAAGATCTTCACTTTAGGAAACTTAGAACTTAAATTACATTGTCAGTCCTTTTCAGTCCTTGGATCTTTGGGGTTTCACACAGTGAACTAAAGCTTTAGTTAGATCTCATTTGTTTGTAATTTTCTGTTGTCTTATCTATATGAATACCTAGTAGTATTAGTGCATTGAAATTACTAATTGTGCTAAAGTATGCATTAACTAACAGTGGGCTTTTCTGAGGCACATTGCCACGAAAAGAGAGTTTATTTAGAGACAAGTTTTTATATATTCTTTTCATTGTCCAGAACAAGAATAACTATAAAATTCTTCTAGAGAGATGAGTATCTTAGTGTTTGTATCCCAACAGATCTCAAGAAAAGCTCTCACCCAGAAACCTGAATTTCTATTGTAGTGAATGAGACAGATAATATTACATTAATATACAGATATTTGTTCCTCAGAACTACTAAAAAATTTGCTTTATTTTGTCTGCATTTCAAAATATGCTTTGTTATACTGTGTTAGGACTTAAATAATGCATAGCATAGGTTATAGGATTCAACCCTAGTCCGAGTATCCACAGGCACTTACTATAAGATTTAAAAAACACTGCCTGCAAAATATGACAAATATTGCAGAAACTATAAATTATTCAATGGATGTGCAATCAGAAGTATCCAGACCCAAACAGACAGTGTTATTCCTCAGTGGAGGTATCCTTCAATGTATTTAGGTATGATCTGAATTCTAAAAGTGTCAGTCTTAGAGCTCCAGGTATTTGGACAAGATCATCCTTGAATCCAGCTCTTTAACTGAGGGAGAGCTGCAAGATGCATCACCTAAAACATTGGGTTTTTGACATATGTTAGTTTCTATCCTCAATTCATTACAATGCCAATTGGAAAAAAATGCAGACTTTTTATTGTGATAAAATAAATTGCACAAAATATTTTTTCTGCATGCAGCACATCTTTAAAAGGAGTCAGACACTGAGTATACAGATTTTCATGCCTAATTTTCCCATAGAAAACTACTATTTTTGTCAATTCCAGTCAACCCATCATAAATGTAGAAACACGATTTTGTTGACTTGGACAGAAATGTAATCAGCTTATTGGAAGACCTTTATCAGAGAAATAGCAGAGCCATTCCATTAAAGCTTCAATTTTTTAAGTAGAGAAGGTATGTTTTGCAACTTTTGCCATTTTCTTGGAAAAGTTGGTTATACTGAATTGTGGGAGAAAGGAATTTAATATTTTGTAGCCCCTTACTCTACACTGTTAATCTGAACCCCGTGAATTAATATACTGCCAATTCTAACATTAGTTTATTGTTAGGTAAATAAAGGATTTTTCAATAAAGAGAAATGTAGTTCATGGGAAGGAAGCTATTTTAAGCTTAATGAAATATAAGACCATAAAACACCTTAATTGCAAGTTTAGAATTGACAACGTCAAAATGGTATTGACTGTGCTTGGAAGATTTAACACCCATATAACAAAACTCTCATGAGATCACTTCCCTTAGGCGACCTTTCAGAAGTAGAAATCTCATAGATATGAGATTCACACTCAGACTGGATCCAGAAAATGGACCCATACTTGTCACACTAAAGGTCAGAACACAGGAGACCCCTAAGTGAAATCACCATAATCAAAAGGACTTCAGAAAAACAGATCCAAAGGCAGGTCTTTATTGTTGCACAAAGATATTACAAAAATCATAGTATCAAAAATGCCTTGCTCATTGATGAGCATATCTACAAAAATAATATCTGCCAGGACAGTAAACTCCTGTTTGACCAAGAAGTGGCAATATGTGTTTTAAATCTGCTTCCAAACCATAAGAAAGATTTTATTTCTTTCTTAAATCCATAATTTTTCCATGAACAGTTATCAATATTTTGTTTTCTTTTTAACTCCAAAGACTAGAAGAACATAAATTAGCATTTCCAAATTGCCAGAAGTAACTCATAAAATTAAACATGGTGGTTAAATCACACATAGTAGTTCTTCATGTTAGTGGTATGAAGCAGTGCATTCAAATTGTTATTTAGAACTAGGAAGAGTTCACTTTTTATTACAATGTAGAAATTGAAGTGCTCAGAGTGTGCACTTTCATTTTATACATCTGAAATCAGGAGGAAAATATTAATCAAATCTTTTCTACTCTGTGTGCTTGAAATTAAGGAGCAGATACTTCAGATGTTAAAATATGCATTGAATTATATCTTTAAATGATTTAATTTTGACTCATAGAGTTTATATTTAGCTTCCTCAGCTGATCCATTTTTCAGTGATATCTACAGTAATAAAATATGATAAAATATTTTATATTAAACATTAAGGACTTACTTAAAAATACATGACATTTCTTCCTAAAGAAATCTGATTCACACTTTGTGGATGAATCAATTTGCAGTTACAGCAAAAAATATGTTTCACAAAAAACTATAATTCAACCAGTACCACTTTCATTTTAAAAATGCAATTGCCCCTAATTTTATTCCTCTTATAATGCACTGGATGTTATTGTCTTCTTTGGTGTTAGATGCTTCAATGAAAGATGCATTCTAGAAGGCCACAAAGGGCTAAAAGGGTCACTGGATCCAATTCCTTACTCTTGCAAGTAGCAGCATCATCAAATCTTTTAAGATACATCTTAAAAGTAGTTAGGATTTGTTGGGGTTTTTTTCTGTTCCTTGTGACTTCCAGCTTAGTTTGTTTCTCATTTGTTCATATCCTTTGTTGTTGTTATTGTTGTTGTTGTTGTTCCAACACTGTTTTACCATAAAAGTGTTATTTCTTTTTACCTTTTTTTGTCTTCAGCAAACAAGTAAAACACTTCTGTCACATAAAGGCTTTCCATTTTTATGGTCATCTTCAGAGCTGCTCTCCACATGTACCTGCTAGAATCAGTGGTTCAACCTGTACTCACCAGGTCCTCATACAAAGGACCATACAAAGGACTTCTCCATCCTTAGCAATACATGATTTGACACACCCTAGCACTGCATTTTCCTTCTCATGGTTGCAAATTGTGATAGCCTGTTATCAACCCAAGGATAATTCTGTCACTGTCTTCTTCTGCTGATGAGCCTTGGTGCTAAGAGCAGGACTTCTGCTGTTAAGTGTAGGGTTTTTTTCAGTGAAATCTCATCGTTTTTTTCTAATGTAACATTCCTTAAAATCACCTGACCTCTTCTTCCATTCCAGTTTTCTCTGAATAAGCGTTTTCTTTCAATTTCATGTCATAATCAAATTTTACCTGTTTATTTACATTTTTGCATCAGAGTTGTTGAAGATATTTAGCCATTACTAGTTTCATTAATAATTATTCTCCCTTTCAATATGTGCATTTCTGTTATCTGCCATCCTTTATTTTATCTGTTAATTAGGAAAATATTCCCTGAGTGAGTTACTTTCTTTTCCTACTCTATTGCTCAAAAGCAGATGAACAGATATTTTGGATACATGCAGTTCTGGTGTCATGTTTACCAATGGCTTTATTTCTTGCTGAGATCAATTAAAAAAATACATTATGTTTTAAAGGAGAATTTATATACTCAAAGCAGGACACCTAGAGGACAGAATTTATAATCTTTACATTTTATCTTTGCTGTAACACTGCTTTAAAAGCCTGAAGTTCTTGCCAAGTGCTATCACAGACTCGCAGAATGGTTGAGTTTGGAAGGGACCTCTGAAGGGACCTCTGGAGCTCCTCTGGTGCAAATGCCCTGCAAAGCAAATTTCCCAGGACTGTGACTGACTACACCCATGGGAAGAAAAAATAAAATTCTGGTGCTTAGATGAAATTTCACATGCTTTAATTTATGCCAAAGGTCTTTGGTGTGTCAGTGGGGGCTACTGAGAAGAGTCTGGATTTGTCTTCTTCATTCCCTGACATACTGGGAGCCCAGAGGTGGGCACAGTGCTCCACATGTGGCCTCACAAGTGCTGGGTAGAGTAGTGTGCTGGGTTTGGCTGGGGCTGCTATAGGGCAGTGTTGTGAATTTGCGCTGGAAACAGCGTTGATGACACAGGGAATTTCAGTTACTGCTGAGCTTACACAGAGTCAAGTTCTTCTCAGCTTCACCCCACCCCACCAATGAGCAGGATGGGGATGCGCAAGAAACAGGGAGGGGACACGCCTGGGACAGGTGACCCCAGATGGCCAAAGGGATGTTCCGGACCATGGTATCATCTTCAACAATAAATTATGTGGAAGGCTGGCCAGGGCTTCTTCAGAGCATCTGTCAGTGCGTGTTTTCATTCGTATTGCTTTTATTTCTTGGACTTTATTTCTTTCTCTGTTGTTTTCCTTTATTATTATTATTATTATTATTATTATTATTATTATTATTATTATCATCATCATCATCATCATCATCATCATCATCATCATCATCATCATCATTATATTGTAATTCAATTAATAAACTATTCTTATCTCAACCAATGAGTTTTCTCACTTTTACCTCACTTTCTTCCTCCCATCCTTCTGGATGTTTGAGGGATGTGAGCAACTGTGTGGTGCTCACTTGTTGGATACAGTTAAACTGTGACAAGGAAAAGATCTGGCTCATGCTCAACTTATTTTTCATCAGGGTCCTTAATAATTTGTCTTTGGTAGTTGCTGCTTACTACAGTATAACTGAGAGTGCAATTTCTCTAGGTGAATAATTTTGAAGAGTTGTACAATCCTCTGCAAGGTAAAACTATAAGCAATTCAAATAATTACACCATCAAAATGTTGGAAACAGAATGAAAGTTTGGCACTTGTGCAGACTGGTTGAGATTTTTTTCCATTCTTCTTTCAAATTACAAATTACCTTTCAAATTACAGATTACCTTTTTAGTGTTAACTTGAAGCAAATGACTCTATGATCACAGAATCATAGAATCATTTAGATTGGAAAAGACTTCCAGATTGTCCAGTTCAGCCTTTAACTGCTCACCACATTGTCAACTAGACCACAGCTTTAATGTCAGACAGTGGTTTCTTGAACACCTCCAGGGATGGTGACTCCCTAAGCAGTCATTTCCAATGTTTAACAACCATTTCCATAAAAAAATTACTTCTAACATCCAACCTGAACCTCTCCCCAGGTGCAGCTTGAGGCTATGTCCTCTTGCCCTATCACCAGTTATCTGGGAGAAGTGGACACCTCCCACCTATCTACAGCCTCCTTTCAGTTTGTTGTAGAGAGTGATAAAGTCTCCCCCGAGCCTCCTTTTCTCCAGGCCAAACACGCCCAGCTCCCTCAAACATTTCTTGTAGTATCCTCATAGTCTCCTAGACTTTTCACCAGCCTCATTGCCTTCATTGCCTTTTCTAGAGACTTTTCAGCACCTCAGTCTTTCTTCAGCTGAGGTGCTTAGACCTGGACACAGCACTCAAGGTGTCTCACCAGTGCTGAGTACAGAGGGACCATGACAGTGGTCATGCTGGCCACACTGTTGCTGATACAACCCGGATACTATTGGCCACCTTGGCCACCTGGGCACACACTGGCTCATCTTCAGTCATCTGCTACCCAGCACCCCCTTGTCCTATTCCACTGAGGTTTGTTCCTTGAATCCTCGTTGTTGTCTTGTTCCGTCTGGTGCCATCTTCTTCCCAGCCTAGCTTTTCCAGAGGCACCACATGGAAGCCCCTGAGCAGCAGACCTGAGCTGAACAGCAGTGCTAGGCACGAGCACGTTTCCTTGTCAAACTAAGTGCAAAGGTTTTCTGCTTTGCTTAGTAGACTGGAGACAAATACCATTGGATCCTTGCAGTGTCACTTCTGGGTCTGACCTTTCGGGCCTGGCCAGCCTGCAGTTTGCCAGTCAAGGGAGCATCCCTGACACAACAGTTTGGCTGCACGGAATGTATTGCCAACAGGCTTCATGGTGGGTTGCTGCCAGCACTTAGCATTCCCCACTGGAGCAGTTCACACCATTTCACTCTGGATTCTGAGCTACCTTGCTACTCCAACATGGACCAGCCGCTGCCCCTAGGAAATCAGTAATCTTCTAAATATATAGTTGTCAGAATCTTAACATTTTGTTTCAGATCTGTGGGATTGGGGAATGACCCATTATTTTTCTAAGAACATTTTAAAGCCTCATTCTTTAAATACACAAAAATACTGTATAGCATATAAGAGTCTAGCACAAAGGTTAGTTTTATAGAAAAATTTTAGCTTTACAGAAAAATATACTTTTTTCTTTAAGTTATTCTGTTCATTCAATATGAGATCAGAGGTTTCAGCCTATACTGTCAGATGATGCAATTTCTCAATATGAGCACGATTAAACAACCACATATAGAAACCTACTGCTTTTAGCTGACATGTTATACTATAATGCACATGGCCCAAACTCTAAGATAAAAATCTTTAGTTTCAACCTCTCTGAATATGCTACAAGTTTGGAATAATGCTAATTTGAGGCAAACACCTATTCATCAACTATCACTGAAGCAGGCAATAGCTTGTCTTCACACTTCATCATCAGATTGACTGTCCAATACAAATTACCTGAGACACCAAGGTAACAGACATGGCCAAGGACTGGAGAACAGGACTGATGCAGCAAGATGCAGCCAGAAGACCCTTTTAACAGAAAGGGAACATGTTCTTCTTCATAGCACAGCATCCCTTTTCCCAGGCTAAATAAGGACCCTCCTGTTGTGCGTGTCCATGCTCTCAATACACATGCCAAAGTCAATGCACATTCTCCTACAGCAGTGGTGAAGGAGTAACAGAGCTCAGTGCTCTTCCACTATCAGTCCCTCATGGGGATGGTCCATTTCTTCCTAAAAGAGTTATAAGAGTGACAGCTCTGTTTCCTACTCTGGTCCTTTATAAATGGATTTATTCTCCCATACTAGCACAGGGTTGCCATTTTCTCTTCTTGACTTTTTCCACATGATATCCTAGCACTAACAGGGCAAGTGTATTTGTTTGGGCCACCTTCTGAGCATAAAACACATGTTCTGATAATGCCAAAATAATGAGGTAATTTCTGAGGGCTGCAATACTGTTTCCTTTGAAGCCAAAACATCTCCAGAGCTGTTACTCCTTCTTAGATTAGACAATGGGAGCATATTAATAAACAAAACTTAAGAGTAAAGCAGTGTAATAAAGATTTGGAAACTTCAGCTAATAGTTATAGCTATAAGCGATGCCTCCATGTCCTTGGATGTGATCATAAAATTTCCAGATATTATCCATAGCTGGAAAAAGGACATGAAATTGCCAACTGAAACTTAATTGAAATCTTTTGCAGCAACAAAACATGACACCTCTTGCAATGAGTTTTTGACTGGAACATAACCTTGCATTCCTGGCTGCCTAGCACTTATATTACCATTCAGTCTTGCTGAGAAATACATACTGTAAGGGATCTTTTTATTATTGTCAATATTATTAAAAAAGAGTCCAGCAAAATAACATTGCAATACTGTGACATGTCTATCATATTTGAATTATTCTTTCACTATAGGCTGTCTTTAACTAAAAATTACTTGGATTTATGAAGATGTTTTTGAGAGGTTTTTCCTGAAATGACTATTACTGAGCAACACACCTTACACGGACTGTTGCCATTAAGCCTTAGAATCCTGTGGTTTTCTAGGATTCTGCATTTTTAAATAACAATGTTAATGTTAAAAGCTAAATCTCTGAAAATATTGACAAAAATGAAAGAGTAGAATTTCTACTAGACAGAAAAGAAAAAAGAACATGTTTTTCTTGGGGGGGGGGGGGAAATGTTATCACAAATATAGTTTATTTCATATTTTGCATTTTGCTCTCTTCCACAGTGAAATCAGATGAGTTGCAAACAATCAAGAAAGAATTAACTCAAATCAAAACAAAAATTGACTCCTTGCTAGGGAGACTGGAAAAGATTGAAAAGCAGCAAAAAGCTGAAGCAGGTGGGTAAAAGCCATTTTTAGTGAAATGAATTAAATTAGAACCTTGTTACCAGTCAAGTAGACAGACCAAAGAGAATGGAAGCTTTCTAAACTTTTGGTACTTAATGGAGGCCTGAAGCAAGGCAAATCAACTCTTAGGTAAAACTCCTTGGAGAATAGATTAATATTCTTCACGGAACATGCATCATCATTTAAGAATCATTTTTATGGTGTAGTAGGAAAAATAATCTCTCTAGTTGTTCTGGATACAAAACATCACTAAAAAACAGAGTGAACAGAATTAAGCTAGAAGTTTTTGACCATGGTGATCCTTGTGCTAGACATATTAATTATTTATAGATGCCGTATATCAAGAATTATTGCCTGGGCAATAAGCAGTAGGTAATAGTCACTAGCTGAAGCAAGGAAAAAAATTCTGCTTGATATAAGGAAAAGAGATGCAACTAAGCAGTATGGTGAGTTGACCAGAGAGACCATACTGTCTCCATCCTTGGAAACATTCAAAACCCACTGGGCTCAGGACCCATGGACCTGGGCTACAATTTGAGTTTGTCCCTGATTTGAAGAAGGATTGGACAGAGATACTTTCCAACTTCAGTTATTGAGTGAAGTCTGGGTGTCTTTGTAAAACTGGTTACAGCTCCAATTTAGCTTTTTTTTCTGGCTTAAAAAACTTTGGTTTTAATCAAACCCTAGGAATGAAAAATTCAATACTACTTCATAATTTAATCAAGTCAGTGCATTGCTCATTTTGTTAGATGAATGATCTCACCTGGTAGCACTTTGAAGTCATCCTGAGAGTTGTTGTATTCTCACCATAATATATATAAAAAACAAACTCAGTTCTTATGTCTGTCTGTGGCATTTTCTTTGCTGTTTCCTTATAGATCACATATATCTTTTTTCAGGAGCTTTATATTAGTGAGTTGATTTTGTAAAAGTCAGCAGGGAAATGGACGCCTTATCTCATGAAAAACTGAATTTTTGTTTTCACCCCTCCATCCTGTGATAAAACATTTTTCTGAATTTTGTGTGAAATGTGTGAAAGAAATTCTGCCTCAGAAACCACAACTGCCTGGGTGTCTGGACAGTAGTCAGTTACATGAAGCCAAAAACCCATCAGGACACATAAAGAGAATTCTATCAAGACTGTCTAAAACATTACTGGGAATTAGCAGTTGAGGGTTACAAACTTGGCACAGTCAAAATAGGGATTTAGATACAGATGTCACCTGTTCCCAAGTAACTTGAAAAAAAAATTGCTTGAAAAATAACCTATCTTTTCTTTACAATCATTTTCTAAGTTGACAGAAAAGGACCAGTCCCCCAGCTGTTGTAGTTTATCTCACAAAGTTGGGGGCTTTTTTAAAATCTGAGGTAAACCATTAGTAGAGAGTGAGATTATCTCTTTCAGGAGATCTGTGCACAATACATATTCATTAGATTCTATTTTGTCCTTTGTGCAGTTTGGATAAAAGTTGGCATAATTGGTGAAGATGTAATTGCAAGGCACTCCATTGAATCATTTGTGCACTGAAACACTCTGACTATACATCCCTACCTTGGGGAGCTTTTATAAAAAATCCATTACTATGCAAAACAGTCTGCAGATCATTGTACTTTGATATCCAATTTTCACTTTTGCTAAAGGACAGTAGTGATGTCATTTAAAAAGAAATCATGTCAAAGAGGAAAATATTGATTTGTATTGAGTCATAGTCTTATGGCTTCTGAAGACATGCAATGAATATCCTCAGATATTAAAAAATGTTTTCAAAATATTGATGTTTTAAAACATCAGGTGCAGAACCCATCCCTCGTATTCTTTGCCTCTCATTGGAGGGTGTGAGGAGAAAAACACCTCAAAGATACCAGTAAGCCTGGAAACATATTTAAGTTTCCTGAGCAGATGAAGGAGGTTATGCAGCCTGGGTGATTAGTCTGCAGATCCAAAAAGATTTGTGTAAGCTGCATCAGAACTATTTCATTTAGATTGTTAGATGGGAGATGATGAGATGATTTTGTTTCTTCTCTATGGTTTGGCAATGTTATTTTTCATTTTCCTCTGCCAGAAGGTGTGGCCTCACTAAGACTGGGATCAGAGAGAGGATATGTGTCTCATTTATATAAAGCAAAAATCAAGCCATCATCTTGCTCTTTTGGTTTTCTAAGTTTGACTTGCTCTCCTGAAGACTATTTAATTTTTAATCCTAAAAGCTGTTACTTCTGGAGGAATGTGATGTTTCAGGCTGGACAAGCTCAGTGCATATGTTGATTACTGCTCTACAGCTGCAAGAAGACTCTCCTTGCAGTAAAAGCTGATGTTCTAGCTTTTTCTGTTACCAATCCCTAATCTTTATAATAGGGAGAATATAGAAAATAGGATTTCTGGTACATAGAAAAACTGTAGAAGTAGCTCCTTTGTTTGCAAAAATATGAGCCGGGAAGCTGGGAATAAGCTGTTCTGACATGCAAAAAAAAAAAAAAAATTATATAGAGACTATTCTTCCTGTAATATTAGAGATTTGGCTTTAATTAGGCTCAAAGTTAGGTACTTGAGTTTAGTTTCTCAGAAGAGCCCAAAAGAGATAGGTACTGAGATGGTATTTTAGCCTTCTCTGAAGAACCCAGTCTATGTTCTCATTAATGCAATTAAGTAAGTGGTCTAATTTTTTAGAAGCTGTATCTTAGAAGGTTTCCCATTTAAATGTATTGTCTATCAATTAAAAAAACCTTGTTTTTAAGAGCCTTGACCAAAATTGATTCAGTTGTCATTGCCAGAGCTGAGTGATCTCAGAAGTGGCTTAAGAAAGGAAGTGGTAGGGCCAGACATAGAAGGCATAGGTGATTCAATCCATTTTAACTTGTGCATAAGGCAAGTAACACAATCACTTAAAACTAGCATGGCATTGTATGGAGCACCTTAACAATAGAAGATAAAGCTCCATGGGCTGAATCTTCTGCTAATATATATGACTACAGTACTGTCAGAGCTACTGTCTAAGAAGACTTTGTGCTTTTTAAATCTAAGAATCATTCTGAAGACATTAGGTGACTGAGGGAGGAAAGCGTAATTTTTCTGTTCCTTCAGTAAGCAAAGTTGAAAATGAGGGACTAAAGACTAATGAAGACTAAAGAGATTAATGTAAGTGGCAAAATAAATGTGCAAAGTCAAAAGGTAAAACAAATATCTTAGTTTAAGAATATGGAAAAGAAAAATGCCATCAGATTTGAATAGTATGTGTAGCTGGTAATAACTCATGGTAAAAAAATAATAGAGCTTCAAAAATATAGAGCTTCAAGGCAACACTTAATTCATTGGTTGTCCAACAAGATAGGTAATGAACTACTAGTGTTACAGAGCAGTCAGTCTTACAAAGGAAGAAATATTTTGTTCTAGAAATTCTGTCATTGATCACCCTCATACTGAAAAGACATTATTTTTCTAGCTATATGCAATCAGTTCTCTGGCCTGATTCACTCTGAGTACATAAAGTGTTTCATATAAGTTCCTTACATGCATAGAAATAAGACTCTGACCCCTCCAAACATTCTTCTAGCCAGTCTGTCTCTTGTCATTCTTCCATCAATCTTCCTCTGGATTTCTGCTGTTTGGATGAAGTTCCTCAGCATATCCAGGAGTTTCCCAATACCTAGTCACAATAATGCAGCTACCCTCATGAAGTCAACCAGAACAGATTTTCAGGCTTCAGGCATGGAAATGGTCTTTCTTTTTACCACTTGGCAGAAAATATAGGAAGCCAAATATATTTGGTTGATTGGAGGGGGACATTCTCCTGTTACTTCAGCACATTGTATCAATGAGGAGTAACAGATACTTCACAAAAACATGTTTACCTGTCTAAAAGTATTTGTTGATTACCTGTATTACTGTGAGGACATATTCACATTAAAGTCATAAAAATTCTTATTCATTTATTGGCAATTAACAGCCTTCTCTCATCAGATAAAAGCTATTTATGTACTTTTCATTGGCTGCACATGAATAAACATCTGGTGACTTTGCCAATTGGATTCCAGGGCAAAGTACAGAAAATCAAAAAGCTGGATCTATTGGCAAATCAAGCCTTCATCCACTGCATGGCATAGACGGGGTAGATGAGCATATTGATACTGTGATTTATTTATGCACTAATTTTTGAAAGAAAAGTTCTCAATCATATTTGCCTGATAGACATTATCACAGAGAATTTTACAAATCTAGCACATCTGGAGATGGAAGCTTAGGTTTCTTCTGCAGAGCACTTTCCTTTGCCACCAATAGGAAAGGCTACTGAATCTCCATAGAGTATGTTTTCCTTACAGAAAAGAAACAAAAGGAAGATAATGCTGATTTGATTCAAGAGGAATGCATATCAGAGAATGCAGATAACTCTACGGAAGAGCCAATTGAAGGAGGGCCAGATGCAGATGGGGATGGAGAAGATATGACTGATGGGATAGAGGAGGATTTTGATGAGGATGGCAGCAATGAGCTGGTAAGAAATAATCATGACCTGTCTGTCTATATGGTTCCTACAAGTAACCACAGAGAACCAACAGTCTGGATTAACAAAATAAGCTCAGAGCAGCATTGTGATGTTCTGTAACTATTGCCTAGACCTATACTCCTCATACACTGTGATATCAATTAAGCATAGGAATGTTTGAGGAGAAACAAGAAAAATATATTTGGTGATTTTAGAAAGGAAATAAAATGTAATTTTGATTTATCTCCATTTATTATTTTACATATGTAAAAGTGTAGGGTGCTATTTTTTCTTTTTTTCTTTTTTTTTAACTGCTGATTTTCAAAATTCAATAATATTCTAAAATTGTGAAGTTTTTCATTATTAACACATGCTTTCCACAGTCCCGAGTCTCTATCTTCCATGTGTATACTCTGCGGGCTGAATTGGCAAATACAGATTTTTTTGATGGAAGGATTTTTCCTTAAGAAATGTTTGGGTTTTCAGCCTGAGGCTGCACCTTTCATGAAATAAAAGCATTTCATTTAGCACCATTATGATGCTGAACTCCTAAGTTCTTCTAGAGCAACATTAAGAAATATTTGAAAAGTCAGATTTATAGCTTTCTATGCATTCCTAATATTAATGTAACAGTCAGCAGTTTAGCCTATAATACTCTCCCTTCCTTCCTGGTTTTCTTATTCTGCTTTGAGCTGAAAGAACTTTTGTTGCTCATTTGCTTGCATTTAAAAAAATTATTTAATCATGTGTGTACAGTAAAAATCTTTTAGTGAAGCAGCAGAAGTCAGTTAGTGAGCAGAATCAACAGCAAGTCTGGCGTAATGGGGCATGTCAATAACCAATTTGTACTACTTACTGCAAAAGCAACTGAAACCTGCTGGTAATTTTTTCAGGTTTGTGTCCCATTAGCCAGCCCAAGACCTGAATTTCTATATCCTGAATAGCATTATTCCCAGAAAAAGCTACTAAAACCTGAATTTCCTCATCTTAATACATGCAGTGGAGAGCAGATGACATTATCCCTTTTTCTTATAGAGACAGATTCTCTTCTTCAGATATGAGGGATATCTGTAAGAAGCTATCACTCTGAATTTGTAGGGAGTTGAAATGTTGTAATTAAGAAATACTTGTAAATATAATCTCCCACCATGGATAATACTTGACCAGCTGAAGTGATTTTATCAATAAGGGTAACCTGAGTTTAACAAGAATGGTGGGTTTTGCACTAATTAGGCACCGGACTCCCCATTACAGACAGCTAAGTGGGGATGTTAACATACAGTACATTAGACTCTGATTGCTCAATGCTGTCATTTCACCCTGTGGATTTGACATACTTTGCATATATCCACACTATACGACACAAAAAGTAGAAGAATTTTTTTCATCTATCAAAGACCTCAGCAGGAAAGGCTCTATAAAGCAAGCAGCACAGGGAGAATCATTAGCAGTGAAAGTCTGGAACTGGCACAGCCACATTTGCACACTGCTGCTTCCAAGTCAAAAGCACTTTCCAATATTCATGTTATGGAATCAGTTGAAGCGCACTGTGTTGCAGACACAGCTCCAAAGACAGCTCAGAGGTCTGACACACGCATCTAAGGCAGGGTGGGGAACCAGTTCCAGTTTCTCTGCATGTCATCACTAAGTGCATTAGTGCTGGGAGGATGCAGCTCACTGCATGTGGAGAGCGGTGTCCTCTGCATTGCATCCTGGCATGAGTGGCATTCCCCTCATCCAAACATGATGGTAGCAAGGAAAGGCCAAGGAAGAGGACTTCTGTGCATCCTCTCAGTCAGGTGCAGCCTGGTGCAATGCCAGGGCAGTGGAGCCAGTCATCCTCATGCCTTCCACCTTTCCAAAGGCTGGGACCCTCTAGCTGAGAAGCTGTCAGTACTGTGGACTTTAAAGCTTACAACTAAGAATGTCACTTATGTAAAATCCCTGTCCTTTCCTCCCTTGCTATTTCTATCAAGTTTTGGAAGAGGCTACTTCACCTTAGCTTTCCTGTTTGCTGTGATGTGATAACACTTTCTTCCTTTTGCAAAGCCTAGGGAGATTAGTGAATGCAAAACTATTATGCAAAACTATAATGCAAAAAAATTAGTGAATGCAATGGATAAGATAAAGGATTGCTCAGCAAAGGATTGCTTCAAAGAAATCTCAGGGTATGGGTGTTTTCCTCAGAAAGGCAATTATAAATTGAATTATGTATATTTCCTCTATAGTTTTTACTGAAACAGTCAGCAGTCTTGTACTTATGAAGATGGTAGTTTCTGATGTATATTGTAATTTAGACTGTTTCATATTGACATATATTTATGTAGATATACTGGCCAATTCCTATAAGATTTAGTTCCTAGTCCAATTATTGATAGCTCTGTAAGGGGAAAGACAGTAAGAATACCATTAAATATATACGCCTGTAGAAATACTTGGGAATTCAGCCTGCTTCTACCTATTCTGTGTCCTCTTAGCTGAAATTACCTGCTGTCTTTTGAAAAGTAAAGTAGATATATAAGCTTGTTATATAGCAAGTCCTAACAGATGTTGTTCTTTTTTATAAAAGATAAATTATTTAGGAAAGAAAGCTGACTAAGAGGAAACATGTAATTTTGGAATGGAGGCAGTTACAAATCTTTTGAGAAAAAAAAAGAAAGGTTAAGAATTAAACATGTTAAGTGTGACAACAGTAAGAAAAACTTTACACGTAAGAAAAATGTTACTATTTTGTGTCAAATAGTAACATTGGACTTGGAATTTTTAAAAAATCCTCCAAAAGGCTTTTTTTAATTGAAATCTTCAATGCTTTCCAAATATAGAACTAAAGGAATTTAAGACAATGATTAAGAAAATATTTTCTTTCACCAGTAAGATCAGCAGAGGAAACAGAAAAGTATTTAAATGGGCAGAACTAATGCCCTGGAATCATTTCAACAGAAAAATTTAATTGTGAGCCCACTAGTATGAAAAATATTCATAGAGGGAAAGAGGAAAATTACTTAAATTTAGATCTTAACCTTGAGTGAGTTCTTCAGATTTATTTGTAAATCTTCTGCCAGGTCATTTCCCAAAACCTGCTGCAGAACTGCAGAACAGATTTCCTAAGGCTGTCAGTATAGGGGGGTATTCAAAAAGGTCATACCCACTGCCAGAGTCTAGGTGCTGCCACAATGGAGCCCCTGAATTTATATATGTGGGTTTTCATCTCTGGAGCAGAGGACTCAAAAATATATTTCTTTATTTCTAATTCTAACTTGCAAAGGAAGTGACTATGCAGGATGTTTGCTGTGGGTTTAGATGGTAGGATCAGCTCTCTAAATTCACACTGTCGGTTTGAAGGAACAGGTTACTGCACATTAACTGAGTGATGGCAGCTGTCCTCATGCCTGCTTTCAGCCTAGATCAACTGTAAAGAAAGACGCAATCTGAGTTAGGTCAGGCATGGATTTCAGAAGCCTTCAGTTGTCTGCCTGCCTGCAGACACAAAACAACATTATACTCAACATCTGCACACTTTCTTCATCCACCATATAGAACAGGATGTTGCTCAACCTTGCATTGTAATTTCCTATGACTAAGGACATGCCCACAAACAGTCATTATGGCTCAGCTAAAGTGTGAAAAAGTTTTCCATAGCAATAGCTTGATTGCCCATCTGAACTCCAATTTGAGACATGATGCATTTGAGGCACCTGCTGCAGTCATCAAACACCACCTCTTGAGAATGTCTCTTTTGTACTGTTTGCCCAGAAGTGTCTCAGTAAATGTCTCCAGTGTTTCAGACACTCCAGCTTAAAGGATCTCCTTAGAAAAATTCTCCAAGAATTTTGCTGCAACTTTTATACTGAAGAGTTCTTTAAAAGGTGATCTCAGAAACATGATCCATCTCTGTATGACTATGTCAAAGAGTTGGCTTCAACTTGCTCAGTGAAGTGTGCCATAAGCTTTCATCCACATGCTCTACACAGCCTCTCACTCTTGCCTGTACAAGGGCATGCATACTTTGTAGTTTTATACATATACAATAGCCACTGGTTTATTATGTAGCTCCTGATCTTACTTTACAGTTCTTGTCACTTAACTGAGGGAGATTGAAAACTGAGAGAAATCAAGGGATTGAAAACTTCAGGTCTATCTCCTTTGCTCCTTTTAGGTAAAAAAAGCAAGTAGTTGGTTATCCAAGATTTTACTGGACCCATAATTCAGGCTTTCATTCCATTCCTAACATTGAACAGCTTCTAGTAGCAGTGAACTTAAAATTTCTGTGTTCCTTCCTAGTACATTCCTTTTCATTTAAACTGTCCCTCAACAGTGTTGTGACAAAGACAACATATTCATCCCATTTTATGGAATACAGGCTCTCACGAAGAAGGATCTTTATGTTCAATAAATTAAGTTCACACACAAATCACAAACAGGTCACAAATTACCCAAACACAAATCTCCAGTGATATCAAGCAGGTCTTGTGTGGCTGCCATGTCTTCAAATTGTAAGTAGTGGGAAGGAAAACAAATAACCTTTTCTTCCCTCTGTGGCTGCACAGAAGATAACAGAAAAATGTTCTTTGCCACACAGTCCAACACATTACAATATTTGAGAAGCAGCTTGTCCTCAGTCCCTCTATAACAAGTCCCTTTTTATTAAAAATAGTATTAATATTGTGCAGCCTGGTTGAAAGATTGAAGGAAGAACATTTCTGAATTAGCAGCCTTGGTGGTTCCTTAATTCTGCTTATTTAACACATGGACAACCTGGTGGTGAACCAGAACATTTCATATATCTTGATGTCTTAAGGAGCTGGAACAGAGGCTAGATGGAGTTAAGAGGAATAAAGTGGATATTTATTGGAGTGACTTCAAAGGCCACACCCTGACAGAACCAGAGCCAATCGTGGCTCTGCCCGGATGGCTCCAAGATTGAAGCAAAGGAGGGCTTGGTCACAAGATCTCAAACTTTTATAAGTTTTAGTCCATTTGCACGTAGGCGTTAACTGTCCAATTAACAG